AATAGGTTTCTCACAATGTGATGTCTGAAGAACAAAATTCAATGTTTTCTGGTACTTTCTTGAACAGAAAACATCTCTATAATGAGTGAGACACACAACATGTCATCTGTTTTTGATGTTAAATGACATAAATGCCAAATGAGATCTTAGGAATTTTCTGACCTCAATATGGAGTCAACAAAAATGAATATTATTGGAAATATAGAGAGCACGATAAGCCTCTGGGGAATGTCTACTCTGCCCTCTGTACGGGAGCACCTAGTCTAGGGGAGAGACTTGTGGGGAGCGTCCTGTTCCATCTGAGGACATCCTGACACCAAACATAAGCTTGTAATCACACTCTGTGCTCTGGGGCTATTTTACAAAACATGATTAACAGGACTTTTCCACTCGTGTCCCGGTTTTGGTCTGTTTTTTTTTTTTGACATTTTGTGCAAAGAATGTTTTCAGTCTTGCATGTACGACAGGCTAGTCATCAACAAAGTATTATGGAAAGAGCACCTCACTCCTATTTCCACTGTAAACCTGCTTTTGATTAGGTGGGCTTCTTCACAACATGGAAACTAAAAGGCAAATGGCAATTAAACAATAATTAGTCTGGAGTGACGGCATCTTGAGGTTGTCATTTATTTCAGTTTGAAACAATACAAACGTTACTGGACCATAACCCGAGCAAATGCCATTCAATGTTAAGGCAGATATCAATTTAACATAGTGCTAAATATGATTTAAGTAGGCGCACAGCAAAAGCAACAAGAAAAGGGTACGGGGATAGAAGAGGGGAAAGGTCCACATGATTCTAAACAAGAAAAAAAGAATTCAAACAAATAGCAATGATACATTAAACAAATGTCTTAGGAATGCTCTCGTATTATAATTTGTGAGAAATGCCTTCAGTAAGTTAGTGGGACATTCTAGAGACTACAACACCACACAGAAACTGCAAAATAAAGGGGGGGCACAAACTTACAGGTCAGGCTGAGACTAAATGGCAAAACTGAACTAAAAGTGAGTAGAAGAGCATATTTTATTGCAAGAACTCTCAATACTGTAAACCTTAGACTTGCAGCTGTGGACGTTATGGTCCAGATCAAACATGCAAAGAAAAAGACAGGTTTGGTTGACAGGAAAATACACGTACAAGTACAAAGGAGAGTCCTTTTACTTGTCTTTGGATTTCTTCCATGAAGACAGGAAAAAAAAAAAAAAAAAACGGGAATCCGTTCATTTGAAAGCCTCTATACATACAAAGAATTTGATGGAAATCACCATCAAATGAATAATAATTAAAAATAATTCAATTAACAGAAAAAAATGAACTGGTGTCAGTAACTGGGGTCCATAGTGAAATGTCTTATTCGGCATTCAGTGTTCTGGTGCATAATGACGGATGTTAGATGGAGGCCAACACGCGCTCCACATAACAAGTCTCGTCCACCACTACCCTCAATCCAAGTGATGTGTTTCATATGAAATAAAGCTCGTCATGTGGAACATTTTGTACTTTAATTTTTGCAGCTACATAGAAGTCGACATTTACAGCTCGCAAATCATAAGCAGGGAACTAGTTTTTTCCTGGAAGTGAGGGATTGAGGATACTTCTTTACTGATTATTATGAATCCTTTGGAGTAAAATTTGACTGTACTGTAACCTACAAAATTAGTTCATGTTATCGGCACTATGCTACTAACCTGATCGCTTAATGTACAACAGAAACACTGTTGCCAATACGAAAAATTCAAACCAGACATGTACTCCTATGACGTACGCCTGGCATGGTTATGACAATTTAAAAACACTATACTTCCTTAGACAAGAGGCTATTTTTGCACGATCCTTTCATTTATGTTTTGAACAGAAAGTAGTGACATGTGACATGTGACAGATGATGGTTGAAAAGGAAGTGTGCAAACAGCAAAGTCCTTTTGACTGACAGAACTACTCCAACAATTAACTTTTTGTTAAAAGTACTCATCCAGTTCCACCTCTATTTCACCCCCCTCTGTTTCTGGTCCGTAGTCATTCCGATCAGCTTGGTGCTTTTTTGGTTCTGTCCAGTTTCAGGGTATGGAACAGTATCCTCCACATGCCCTGCCCCCGCCCTGCTCCTGATCCCCCAGACGGAGCTTCTGACCCTGGTTTTCACTCTCCCAAAGCCCCGGAGTCTGGAGGATCTTCTCCACAAGCTCCTCAAAGGCACACTGGACGCCATCTTTGGTCTTTGCACTGGCCTCTGTACAAAGGAAAGAGGGTTACCAAGATTTATGAGATCAGTATAAAAAAAAATAAAACTGGCAGAACACTTTCCAAAATGTTACAATGAAAAAAAAAACCCTACACGTCAGCTTTTAAATCCAAAACAGAGCAAAACATCCTTTTACAACACAGTAAAACTAACGAATAGAGATTTCAAAATGTCCACGTGTTGACAAACATGACATATAAAGGATGAAATGACTTCATTTAAGAAGCAGCAGACATCCAGTGGGATGAAGACATCCTCACAGGGGATTAAATCCACGACATCTTCTTGCCCAACCCTTTTCAAAACCCCTTAATTTAGCCGTTCTAAAATGGAAACTCCACAGAAATGTTAACCTAATTTCCCAGAGAGGGGCAGATTGGAGATGAGAATCAGGAACACGTGTAGACATGGATCTGATAAATGAAAGCCCACTAGATTTTAATCATAATGCACTTCTTCTGGAGTGGCCGCATCTTTCAGCGCAGCTCTGACAGTAGAGACTCAAAAATGCCAAAGCAGTATAAACAACGCAACAAACCCAAACTAAATGCATGACTTACTAAGTGATGTCCCGACTTGTTCCAACTACGCAATTACAGTTCTGACTTTAAAGTACAGTATGGTACATTTTAATGGCGCTAAGTTACATTTTATGGCTCTATTAGTTTAAATGACCGTGTCTTACCGTGTCTGATTTTACTTTATCACGGATACTTACCAATAAAAAGCATGGAGTGTTTCCTAGCAAATTTCAATCCCTCATTTCGCTCCACTTCATGGTCGTCCTGAAAACCAAAAAGACATTCTATGTAGTTTTCTCTCTATGAAATACATATGGTAAAAGATTACACTTTGAATATTTCTGGTGTTTTTGATTGTCATTTTTTAATAATAATAATCTGAGAGGTGTGTATTAAGCCAAGGTTCACATTAAAGCCATGTGTGAGCCTTTATACTCCATATCCTGCACATAAATTACTAGAAATCCAACATCTGTCTACGATGGGCTGGTGGGACAGTGACATCTGTAACTGTTTAAACTTTACACATCAAACTGACACCAGCTACTGACTCACCTTATCAATTTTGTTCCCAACAAGCATTTTTACAATGTCGTTGCGTGTTGTGTAGGTTTCCAGTTCATTCAGCCAGTTCTCCAGCTTCATAAAAGTGTCGCGCTTTGTGACGTCATACACTGCAAAAAAACCATGCAAACAGAGAGAAAGAGTCAGAGGGGATGTATTTTCTTCATTTTAAGACGACACTACATTCATCTGATGGCTGTTGATTGACAGTATGAGCACTTCGCTGATGCCTTTAACCAAGGTGACTTCAATTAGCTTGCACAGTATAATTGATTTCAATGTTTTGTTTGTAAAATGACAAGAGACATAGGCAAGAAGTGACAAACAGTATGTCTGTGACCCTGGACGGATTATGTAAAAAAAAAAAAACAGAGTAGATATGATTTTTTTTGTGAAAGATTTTTGTTCCTAGGTCTCATATTGAGCGTGCTACGTGGCTATTGCTGTTTACCAAGTATGACTCCCTGTGCACCGCGGTAGTAGCTGGGTGTCAGGGTGCGAAACCTTTCCTGTCCAGCCGTGTCCTGCAAAAGTAAAAACACTTAAGATCAATGGCAGAAAACAAAAAGACTCCATGATACCACATTTTTAAGACAAACAGGAACACTAGCCAAGTCTGCAAGGTCCCAGTCCTGTCCTACTGTGAAACCGGCCATTGCCTGAGGAGTGTTTTGTTTTTGTTTTGCAATCCTTTGCATCCTTCATATTGGTCAAATGGTAAAAAACAGGAATGCCCAGGGGAAGAACAAACACAGAAACACTGAAAGAGCTGGCAAAACCATATTTATATGTAGTTGTGTACTAATCTAGACAGAACAACATTCTAATATCTATGCAATGATTTTAATTAAAAATAAAGACACTAAATTGTGAACATGTAATATGAGCCTTGCAGACAAATGATATGGGACTTCAGTGTTAGGGCTTGGGCTTTGGCCTCCCTGTGTATGCTGTGTTTTCATTGGACATTGGGACTGGGCCACTTTAGGCCTCATGAAAGGAAGTTTACTTTGTTTTTCAGTTTCTTTCTGAGATTCTGGCTGTGCAATGTCGCCATCTTGTGGAAAAACCTTGTAGTTCACCATGTTTTTCCTGACAACACAAACAAACTGTGGACAATGGTGACTTCAGTCTTACCCATATGGCGAGCTTTGCTCTGTTCCCATCTATTGCCAGTGTCTTTACTTTGAAATCCACACCTGGACAGAGAGAGAGAGTGTTTAAGGACTTTAAATGGTTAATTTTAAATGATCAGTAGTTTTCACAGGTCTGTGAATATGTGTGTATGTACATCTGTGTGTGTGTGTGTGTAAAACCTATTGTCGCTGACTGTTCTGGATCAAAAGTGTCTTCAGTGAACCTCAGGAGGAGACTGTTAGGGGAAATAAAGATCATATGGAAATAAGCATGGCATACAGTACAATAGGCCTTTGTGAGTTGACTATAAGCTCTATCAGCATCTCCCTCTGTCAGCTACAGGACGATCCCCACTGCTGTACAGTTTTAATGTTGACAACAGCCCGAGGAGCATCATCATCATCATCTCTCATCAGCAAACAGAACACATGTTCAAAGTTTTACAGCTGCCTGTGTGACGTCGAGCTCATTTGTTAACTATTAGTCACCGTGTTAGCACTTTGAGCATTTGGCCTCAGTTGGGAGAAACTGAGGCCAAATGCTAGCTGTAGCAACAACTGCTGGGCAGCGGGGAAGAAACTCAGCGTTACATAACAAGAACAATATCAACATTAACAACAGGCTAGCCAGTCGGCTCGCTACAAACAGAGACACACCTGGACTTCCCGACTCCACTCTCGCCAATTATCAACAGCTTCAGAGTCGTTAGCACGTCGTCATCCATATTCCTGTGGGAGCTAGTTTGCCTTGCACTTGGCGATGTGTTTATCGATATATTTCACTTGTTTTTAGGGCAGCAGGCGGCTAGCAGGCGGCTCCGATGACAGCCTGCTGTTCACGTCACTTCCGCCCAACCTGCGTCGCATGACGTCACGGAATGATCACGCGGTTTCGAATACAAAACAATCAAATAAATACATGAATAAAAGATAAAAGAGGTTAAAAATGATAAAATGAAATGAAATAAAGCAATTCGTTATCACTATATTGTAAATGTGTTATTGTAGTACGTTAATACTGAATGAAATAAAATTAAATGTAAAATGTCTAAATAATACACAAAATGACAAAAGTGATACAACCATTTAGAGGTCAAGTATTGAGTCAAACAGTGAGTGATACAACCATTGTGCAGGACTTAGGTGGTTACATTGTGAATTTGTTAAGTTCTGTAATATATTGCTAGAAAATGTAAATGTATCTGTTGATGGTTTGTATAGGCCTATATATTTTAAATGTAGCTACATAATGTGCAATTTTTGCATGTTGTTTGTTCTTCATACTGTGAACAAGTGCACACTCTTCAGTCAATACTTTGCATTTCCATCCTCTTTGTTTTAAACACTACAACTCTTCACTTTAAAACAGATATATTTGACATGTTTTATTGTTAAATCTATTTTATATTCATGTTTCTAGACTTTTGCCATATTTCTTTTTCTTTTCTCTTGTATATTGTGACCTTTATCTACCAAAACACCAAGGCAAATTCTTTGTATGTGAAAACCTACACTGTAAACTTATTTCTGAATCTTTTGCTAATGTTGGCCAGTTCTCTCTGAAGCAGAAGTGGAGGGATTCAAGGGAAGTCTATCATAGTATGTCTTTGTTCTGGGCCATTGCTACTCTCATCAATCTTCAAAGACTCAAACTTTTAGGCTTATGTTACCTCAACCATGAGAAGGAACCACCTGGGGGTTTAACAATTGGAAACCAGTGACAGTAAGTATTGAAATGGAACCAGTGAACCATACTACACCTACTGTTCTTCAATAGGCTCTTTGACTGAGTCTTTCCTCAAACCTCATCTGCTTCTGTTCATTACAGAGACGGCCAACCCTGTTATTATGCAAATCTCATCTCATGAAGAAGCTGAAAAGAGTCTGCAGCACAATAAATACAGCTGGTTGTGAATACTCACGGCTCACTGCAATGTTAGTGTGACATTTCTGAAAAGAAGAGCAGCTCTTTTATATTTCCCAAATTTGTTTTTTGTACTAAATGTCAGCCAGAATGGCCAGATTCCACACAGATTGCATAGAGAGACCCATGCGCATCTGTTTTGAGAGGATGGGTCATTTTATTGGATCTCATCCCTGGTGGTTCTTGATTGCTCCCCTTATTCTCTCGACAGGTCTGGGGAGCGGATTTTTATTTCTCAGTGACAGAATGTCAAACAATATCGAAGAGCAATTTACACCTGTCGATGGACAAGCCAAGATGGAAAGGAAATACATCCAAGAAACCTTTCCAGGAAATGATTCCATGTTTTCCCGTTTAAGACTGAGCACAGATGGAAGTTTTGCAACTCTCATAGCTACAAGTGACAGCAATATTCTGACTGTGGAGTCACTTCAGGACATCCTAGACTTGGACTTTAAAGTCAGAAGTATGGTAGTACAGTTTGACAACCACTCATTTGAATATATGGATGTTTGTGCTGAGGTGTTGGGATCTTGCAATTCTAATGACATTTTAGATATCATTGAATACAAAGCCAACAATATAAACACAGTCAATCTGACATTTCCGTGGTATGACTTTGATTTTAGGAGCTTTTCTTTATATTTAAGTCTGGGGAGTGTGAATTTGCGCAAGGAGAGCTCAGTTGTTGAAAGTGCTAAAGCCATACAGCTCTATTACTATTTACGTGAGGACAACAAGACAAAAACTGACCTTTGGCTGGAAAGCTTCATTCATTTGGTCTCAAATGTATCATCAACTTCCATTCAGGTAAGCAAAACTTGATCACATCCCAGTGTTTTAAATGATCAGCTTTTTGTGTCATCAAGTGGCTTCTGCTAAACGTATCAATAATGTCTCTAGGTGTCTTACTCAACCTCCATGTCAATGCAGTGGGAATTTCAAAAATCCACAGCTTCCATCATCTATTTATTCTCCATCACCTACGCCATTGCCATCACATTTTCAATCATATCCTGTTGGAGGTCAGTAAAACATGCTGCTGAACATGTGCAATGTATTTTGGATGCATGGCTCTTTTTGATGTCTGCTTTTCTTTCAGGTTGGATAATGTGAGGACAAAGGTGTGGGTGGCATCCTGTGGGGTGCTCTCCACTGGTCTAGCAGTCCTAAGCGGTTTTGGTGCGCTGTTGTTGCTGGATCAACCTTTTGTGATGACAGTTGCCTCCTGCCCTTTCATGATATTAGGTAGGTTGAGCTGAACATCCAGGTCCTTCAGTCAAAGTTAGAAAGTACTTAAAACACCATTACTTCCTACATTACTATATACCGGAACTCATTTAACAATTCTGATAGAAATCTAATATAATTAAATTTTAATCTGCTTTTTATTTAGCTGTAAAGATCATGTTAAACAATGCTGATGTTGTGATCTCATAATGTACATTATATTTTTCTTGTTATGTCACATACACATTGAGGGATTTACCAGTTAGGGGGTTCCTGGACCCTGGCAGCTCACCTTGGTGTAGCCACCTTGCTGCAGTGGCAATGGGTTAGACTCCAACATTTGCTGTGTTTCATCCCTCCAAATTCCATATTAAATTTGCAATTAATCAGATTACCAAAGAACAAGTGACAGTTGCCAACCTGCACACAAAACAGGAAAGAGTCACATTTGCCATTTTTAAAATCTCTTTCTCTGACTTTTGATCTGAAGGTATTGGACTGGATGATATGTTCATCATGATTTCTTGCTGGCAGAGGACCCGTGTTCTGGACAATGTCCCCGGCCGCCTGGCTGAAACCTACAAGGACGCTGCCGTCTCCATCTCCATCACCACGCTGACCGATGCCCTGGCTCTCTTCCTGGGCTACAGTTCGCCCTTTGGTTCAGTCCAAGCCTTCTGCCTGTACGCTGGGATTTCTATTTGCTTCTGCTATTTGTACAGCATCACTTTCCTGGGGGCGTGCATGGCTTTGAATGGACAGAGGGAAGCAGAGAACAAGCACTGGTTCACCTGTGCCAAAATCCCAGAAGACTTACCAACCAGGAACTCCAAAGCCTTCAGTATCTGCTGTGTTGGGGGGAGCTACGATCGAATCACTGAAAAGGAGGAAACTGAGCCCATGACTCACATTTTTGAGCGGTTCTACGGCCCATTTCTGACCCACAACTGGATAAAGTCATGTGTATTAATCATTTACACTGGCTATCTGGCTGTTAGTATCTATGGTTGTTTTATCTTAAAGGAGGGACTCGATATCAAGAATCTGGCTTTAGATGATTCCTACATCAATAATTACTACAACAATCAAAGGCAGCACTTCTCTGAGTATAGCTGTATTGTGATGGTAACAGTAAAGCAGCCCCTGCTTTACTGGGATCAGGATGAACAGAAGCGTCTGCACTCATGCATTTCAAATTTTGAAAGCCTGAACTTTATCAATGGCACCTTTGCTTGGTTTCTTTCCTTTCAACAGTATGCAAAAGCAACCGGTCTCAATATAAGTTCTCCAGGGGCTTTCCAAACACATCTGCTCCATTTCTTAGAACTCAACTCCATGTTCAAGCAAGACATCAACTTCACAGCAGACAATGAGATTCAGGCTTCTCGCTTTTTCATTCAGTCACTCAACAAAACCACGATGAAGGACATGATGACTGGACTCAGGAAAACAGCGGAGGATTGTCAAAAAGAGCTCCTGGTGTACCACCCTGCTTTCATCTACTTTGACCAGTATACTGTCATTATGGACAACACCATTCAAACCATCCTGGTGGCTGTGATGGTGATGCTCGTCGTCTCACTCATCCTGATACCCAGTCCTTTTTGTTCTGTGTGGGTGGCTTTTGCAGTTTGTTCAGTCATTGTTGGTGTGGCAGGGTTTATGGCTCTGTGGGGCGTAAACCTGGACTCTATTTCCATGATCAACCTGGTCATGTGCATTGGTTTTTCTGTAGATTTCTCAGCACATATTTCTTACTCTTTTGTGTCCAGCTGTAAGAGTGACATCAATGAGAAAGCTATAGATGCGTTGGCCCATTTAGGCTATCCGATACTGCAAGGAGCATTGTCCACTGTTTTAGGAGTGGTGGCGCTGTCCATGTCTGGGAGTTACATCTTCAGGACATTCTTCAAGATCGTGTTTCTTGTCATTACATTTGGGCTGCTCCACGGCTTAGTGTTTATTCCGGTGTTTCTGACACTGTTTAGGGCCTGTTGGAAGTGGTGTTAAAATGGGCATTTCCATTAAACTTAAATTTGAATTCTTCACTCTTTTTGTTTAAAGAAATGTAATCTAAAATGATACTGTAGCTGATGTGTAGAATTTTCCTTTTTTTAACATATTTGTGGAAACGGTGACTAAGTTTCCAGCCTCTTTCCAGTCTCCTTGTCAACACGTGTTTCCCGCTACCTAACCTGAGCCCAAAGCAACTGCTGACGACATCTGCCTCACAGCTAGCCCACTGCCTGTGTGTCTGTTGGAACTACAGTGATACTATGAAGTACGTTTAGTGCCCACCTCCACAGATATCGAAGCAATCAAATTACAGTACTGACATCATCATTTAGATCAGTGGTTTTAAACTTTTTTCACAATAAAGACCTCTAAAGTGACACAACTTAGACCTTGGACCCTATTTTATAACACTTGACTCAGGGTCCTCCATCTGATTTTTGCTGATTTTTAGATGTTTTATTACAGAATGGTATAAAATAGTCATACACTGCCACTGTCTTAGTTGTGGATGGAATTATAGTGAAAATGTATGATTCCACTTTTTGCTGAGGACCCCTAGAATCCTCTCAAGGACCCCTGGACCCCCACTTTGAAACCACTGATGTAGAGGGTACTATCACAGTAAATAAAGCCTAAATAAGTGAGCCAGTGTCATACTAAATAATAATGAGAATTATTCCTAATTTATTCTGTTCTGGCATATCAGATGAGTGAACTCTGTGGATTTTGTTTAATTTCTAACAATGGTATCTGAGGTAAATCTTTAACACACTAATCACATACCTCACACACACCAAAAATCAGAAGTTTTTATTTGCGCTTTATTTATTTATTTCAGCGTCACAAACATTCACAAACCATTGCTATCACACTGTTGAGAGATTTTGTCAATCAACAACAGAGAGCCATTCAATGTGTTCACAGCATAAAAGCTTTTCTATACATCTATATACAATGTTTCCATTACATCATGATCATATATGTACACAGCTAAACATAGATAAAAGGCCAATAAACAGAAGAAATAGTGTCGCAAATTAAAGCGAAATAAACCCTGCAGAAAAAGGTAACACTATGAAGTATAACATATGCTGGTGGTTATCTTGACAGGAGCTATACCTTAAAGGAAATCAGAGTGTTGTTGCTCTAACTATTCACTTTAAAACTGACACATTTGACATTTTAAGAGGCATAACTGCAAGTTTCTACCCACAAGCTGTGTTGAAGAAATGTCATATTTAAAATCAAGGATGTCACTTTACAATCAGACTTATTACAGCATAACTTCCTATATTCACAGAGCAATGTCAGGAAGCACTGAACATTGGCTTAGACATCTTTCTTCCACTGCACTGTGTGACATCTCTCTGCTTTGAAGTAATGACAAAGAAGACAGCAAGAGACAATACCTGACATAATTCACCTTGTTTGTCTGAATAATCTAAAGTTTAAGAGTCTTTAATCCACTCGTTATTACAAGAAAAACTGATATTTTGCTGAGAGGTTTTTCAGAACTTGGGGCTATTTAAATAAATTAGGCCAAGGTTACAACCTTAAAATCCTAGATTTCAATGCTTTATCACTACATAAACAGAGTTTGTATTTGTCACATGCTTTTTGAGTAGCAGTTTTTGATCCATCTGTACACGCAGCATCAATGAAATAAATTACATGAGTGCTTTTTAATTTGTACACTTATCCAAAGTGCTGAGACCTTAAAGCTTAACTTTATACACTTTCTACTTTAAAGAAAAAGATTCACACATACAGTACATTCCCCAAAAGGCCACCTTTAAAAGTAAGTAACAGGGACATATGCAGAGGGGTACATCAGGACAGGAGAATGTATATCTCCCAATAATCCCAGACACAAAGAATCAAATGGAAAGTTCTGCACCCCCCACCATTACAGTTTTAGGTGCCAAATTGAGAAACACAGTCGAGTATAGCCTGAACTCGCAGATATTCCAGACCAATAACAGACACGAACACTGGAAGACAACTGACAAATGGGAGTTGACATTGAATTGAGATAAAGTCTACTTGCCACAATTACACAGTATCTTTGGATTAAAGATACATGGTGCTCAGCATTTCCCATTAACAGAAAAGGAATCCATGGAGACTTGGCTGAACAGAATTAGACCAAATTCCAACTACTTTTTCACATTAAAAACACGAATCCTATGCAGATACTGTTTTCACGTTTGAGGTGCACAATTACATTCATGATCTTTTCCTCCCACCAACTGATAAAGTGACACGAGCAACATCCTCAGCATCCTTTCATTTTTATCACATACAATGAAGGTCTTAAATTCTGGAAAGTCCTGTGTAAGTTTCACATAACAGAACTACTTATTTGGGAATATTGATGAGATTAAACAAAGGTGACAGCATAAAGATGTGACATAGTCCCACATAAGCACTTGTCAAAAGACTTTGTGAATGCAGGTAATGACTTCTTACTCCTCTGATTTACTGCTCATGTCCATCCCTCCTTCCATGACCCCTGAGCTCATAACATCTGACCACTTTCCACACTGCTACCCCCTGATTGTTGCTTCCTTCACTGGTTTCATCTGACCTCCAGGTTCTTGCCCTCCAGGACCAGCTGGATCTCTTTGGCGTCCAGTGTCTCGTACATGAGCAGAGCATCTGCCAGGTTTTTGTGCTCTTTGGCACGAGACTTCAGCAGGGCTTTGGCACGCTCATAAGACTCCTGGAGACAGCAAGGGAAAAGATGGTGAGAGAAGGTTTTACAAGAGCTGGTTGGGTCGCTGAGTTGCGTTTTTTTAATCGAAATGTCCAAAAAATAAAATAAAAATTCCCACAGACCTTCAGTAACACCCTGATTTCATGCTCCACAGCTGCTTGGGTCTCTGGGCTCTGGGCTGTCATGTCAGTATAGGTCATCACACCCAACTGGGAGACAGAAATTGGTAACAAATGCATAAATGTATGTAAAATGACTGTAGTCTGTGATGCATGTGTGGTACAAATACTACGAACAGTTATCCCTTTTCAAATAAGCCTACCTTTTCACACATTCCAAATCTGGTCACCATCATCTTAGCGATCTTTGTAGCACTATCAAAGTCACTTGATGCACCTGAAGAAGAATCACAAATATGCGAGTTTCCGATGTCAGGGAATCAAGATCTTTCTGCCCTTTTCAGAGCCCTTTCTTACCGGTTGTAATGTACTCTTGGCCAAATATGATCTCCTCTGCCACGCGGCCGCCCATACTGACGTCCATCTGGGCCAGCAGCTGAGAGCGAGTCTCACTCCAGCGATCGTTCTCTGGGAGCATGGACACCTGAGAGGAGACATTGAAGTTTAAAGTAAAGAGTAATTGTAGCAGACCTGGTGTCAAAGCTTAGTTTACAAGCTCTAGGTTTCCTTACATGTCCCAGACTGGGGCCTCTGGGCATTATAGTAGCCTTGTTAATTGGCATGGCGTCTTTGGTGTAGTAAGCTACGATTGCATGGCCTGATTCATGGTACGCTGTGATGATCTTGTTCTTCTTGTCTATTTCTGCACTCCTCCTCTCAGGGCCTTGAAGAAAGAAAAAGAAAATAAAAAATTGAAGAAAAAAGGGGATTAAAAATCAGACAAAAAGTATAAAAAAGACAAGACGATAAGAGTGATCCCTCATAATAAATAAGCTTTTTCTGTGCTAGATATAAACATTCGACCAAGGTAAGGATTAGTAGAAAGATTAAGCATTTTATAATAATTGCAGGCAAGCCAACTAATGAGGAAGTTGGTAAAGAAAGCAAAGCTTCTGTGTTACTCACCCATGAGGATTTTATCTTTAGCAAACTCCAGTTCTTTCAGGGTGACCATGTCTTTGCCATCAACTGCTGCCTTCAGGGCAGCCTGGTTGACCAGATTTTCCAGGTCAGCGCCAGAGAAGCCCACTGTGCCCCGAGCAATAATATTGGCCTCAATAGCTGCAGAGAGAACACAGAACATCAACAGTCAGTCTAGGTCTTAGGCTAAGCTACTGTTTTTATATTATCTACTATAATAATACATAGGAGAAAGAATATTGTAACCAAATTCTGTATTAGCAGATGCTAATCTCACACCTGGATCCACTTTAATCTTCTTTAGATACCAGTTGAGGATCTCTGTGCGTCCTTTCACGTCTGGTTTGGGGACAGTCACCTGCATGTCAAAACGTCCAGGGCGGATCAGGGCACTAAGAGAGAGGATCAGTTGGTTGGTAAAATACATACCATGTCAGCATACAACTCTGTGTCACTGCATTAACAACAGCCGCAGAGCTCATTTTTTGTTATTGACTAGGAGAACTGTGACTGTAAGGGGTGTAAAGCCTGACATTTGTAAGCTGTGACATTTTCACAGGCTAAGCAAGAGACAGAAAGGTAAACATACTTATCCAAAGCCTCTGGGAAGTTGGTTGCTCCAATGATGATCACGCCCTCATTTGGTTTAAACCTACACAATAAGATCACAGAGTACATGCAGGTCAGTGTCTGCAATGCAGTGACTCTTGTTTTCTTCTGTTTTCTCACCACAGCAATTTTCAGCATTCAAATTTATATTTTGAGCCAGCAATGCAGTACTTCATATATTCTTGTTTAGACCAATACTGTTCTTTAGAAGCTGTAGTTGTAGCCAGTCAAACGCAGGCCACATTGCATATCAGTCAGTGGGACTGCTTGAAGGTTGGATAAGATTTACAGGATAAAATACATTCCATTATGGTTATTTTATTTATAGATGGTAAACATTTCTCTAAATGTACTGCATCACAATACAAAATGTTATACATCATGACAGAAGATCTTGTTTCATATGACCCACCCATGCACTGTAAACCCACCATATTGCCTGGAGGACGTGCCAAATTTGCTTTAATCTAAATTAAAACAACTCCTCACTCAGTGAATTCCCACAATGTAAAAATGCAACAGAGAATTTTAGAGATTACCCATCCATCTCAGCGAGCAGTTGGTTGATAGTCTGTCTGGAATAAGGGTGCATGGGAGACTCAATCCTTTTCCCACCAACACTATCCAGTTCATCAATGAAGATCACACAGGGAGCATTGGCTTTAGCCTCCCCTAGAAAAAAAGTAGCAAGACAAATATATAAAGAAAACACAAAATACACCACACAATATTCAGCACAACAATAATAATTACTGTTTTTGCCACAGCCTGTATTAGAGGAAGTCGGCTTTACACACTCAAGTGGCTTGTAAGAAAGGTAGAGGAAATATATAATAATAATTATTTTATAAAACCCACTGAAAAGGTTCCTGATGCGGCTGGCTCCCACTCCAACAAACATCTCATCAAACTCGGACCCAGAGGCATAGTAGAACGGTACATCAGCCTCTCCTGCCACAGCTCTGGCCAGCAGAGTCTTTCCCGTCCCTGGAGGACCAACCAGCAGAACACCTACACAGGCAGGGAGGACGAGATGAAGGATGAAGAGAGAAACACAAAAAGACAAAGTCCTGAATGGAAGTGTGCAATCACCACATCAGGTGAAAAGTCATCATAACCATAACACTCGCAAGAGCAGAACATAGAAAAATCAAGACTCTATAAAAGGATAGCCCTACCTTTTGGCAGCTTTCCACCCAAGGCTGTGAACCTTTGTGGGTTTTTCAGGAACTCCACCACTTCCTGCAGCTCATTCTTAGCTTCTTCTACCCCTTTGACGTGCTCAAATGTCACGTTTTTCATCTGGACAGGGTCAACTGCCGAGTCCAGGCCTGATGTGGTCCGGAACCGCACTATCCGAAATGGTTAGATTAAAGTTCGAAAATCACACTGCATGGCACGGTTAATGAACACACACACGCACACACTGCCTGTTACTGAGCATGATTTAAGAAACACATCTGATTACATATATATTAGTGCTTCAATACGGCAGCTTATAAGTGGTTTCTGTAGTCCGCAAAGAGCAGAACATGGTTCAGTAAATAAAGCTTTGTTATTTTCTTTCATGGGTTACTACATGTTCAATATGCATGGATTAGTTTAGTAAAGGCAAATGCTGAGCTTTATTATTATTAATAATACTTTAGTATATTAAAATGCAAATATGTTGAAGATTTAAAAAAAACTTAAAAAGCCACTTCAAAGGAGAAAAGGAGCCTTTACCCGATATAAAGGGGGTTTTGGAGATACCATAGAGCCCAACAAGAAGCAGCACCAGCAGGATGAGACGAGTCCTCCTGAGAGACTCTGAACAGTTGGAGCAGGAAAACTATACATCAGTGGTGTTTAATGCTTAATAATGGATTCAAGTAGAGTGTCTCTGTGTTAAAACCTGCCTTGTGTGCGTTGTGTCAAGGCTTGGGCTTTCAGGAAACCCTCCGCGAAGCCCTTCTTGAAAGCATCCTGCTGGCCTTCAGGTATGTTTTTGTTCTTTGACAGACTGTCTAGACTTTCAATGTCAACCCCCTTGTCACGTGTCAGGAAACCCTGCAGTACAAGGTAAGATTGGTCAGGAGTATTCACACGGCCTGAACACTACTTCACTTGTATCAGTCCTTGACTCTCAAGGCGATGACACTGGACACACTTTAAGAAACACTTTGACTTAAGGTGCACCTGCCTTTCTCTTTAGATTCGTGCGTGGGCAGAACAGCCGGAGGCCCCTTTTGTTCTATCAGCCGATTTCAAAATGCTAAGGCTACACTTACTGGTATCCAGTTTAAAGCTGTATCTTTAACATGCTTATTACATTAAGAACATTGAGGAAATTAATAAGCACATTTAACATATCCATAACATGCTTAAGTATTTTCTTAAGCACACGAACATCTCTAAGTACGTACCTTCATAAAAGATGGTGTGAAGCCTTCAGATTCAAGTGGGCGTTCAGAGGCTGACTGCAGTCGTCTGGTTTTGCTCCTAAAAGTTTTAAAGCCTCTGCTCTGGACCCACACTTGAAATATAGTAAGAATATAATGTTTAAGCAGATTATAAAGCTAACCAAGTTTCCAAGGCATATAACTAAGCATAAACATTGTAAATAAATATACACATTTTTAAAAGGTGTATAATCTATATGTAAAAATAGGAAACCATAGACACTATTGACAATTAACTGGAATATTTGGTCGTCTATACTGATCCAAATAACAACCTGAATATAAAGCTTTGGATCAGTAATAAACTATTACACCACTTCAATAAATTCTTCTTATCCATAGTTACCTGGCCAATGTTGTAGCTCTGTGCTGACAGCCTGAAGAGCTGAAGGTTGCTGCCTGGAAAAAACTGGGGTCAACATGGCCATTGCACCAGACGAGAAGCCTGGAAAAGAGGACAAGGTATATCTGTTAACCAAAAAGTGGTAGCATAGGCCCTACTTGTGTGTAGTTGATCAAAGAGACTAGATGCATCGGCATCTGGTGATGAAATGTTACGAGGTCAAGTAAAACAACTTGGTGTATTCATTCGTGGATGATGACGAGGAGTCCAGGGAGTCCAGGGGGCTCTGGGTATGAGCACCGGCCACAGGCACACACACACATGCTACAGTATGTGAGATGTGTTATATCGAAGATGCACATTCTCACCATGCTTATTGTAGAAAAAGGAGTGCGTTGAAAGATGTGAGGTCCTCCAGGCTGTCTGTTCACCCGATGGAAGTGGCGCCTCCTGTAGACTCAAGCGTGGTAACATACGATTGACCAGCTCATCCAGCTGCTGTGCTCCCAGGTCTGATAGGCCAAGCTCACGCAGGTTCCACATGGGCTGCCCACAAATACATGATACCAGTTTGTGAATGAGATTTAGATTCTTCATAAAGTTGTTCTATAATATGTTTGTTTCTAAACGAGTGGAGCAGTAATGTATACCTCTGTGCAGTGTAGCTCTGAGTCGGAAGCATACTCCTTGGGTTTCCTTGCTGTGTAGGCGGCGCTGCTACTGCTGCTTCCCACTGAGCTCTTCATAGAGTGGAGGACATTGATGAGGTGGCTAAGAGGTACAGTCACCTGTGATCACATGCGATCAAACAGTGAGGGAAGGGCAAGTTCTGAACACCTGTTACAATCATCATCCCAAACCCCATTTGTTTGTTAGACCAGAGGCAGCTTAAATAGAAACTGCTGCTAGTCCATCAGATAGCCTGCTGTTAAGCTTATAATCCAGCTAGTTCTAAATAAAAATGTGCCCATATATTACATATTATTATTATCATTTGTCGGTTCAATAGACCGTCAGTAGCCAAACATGTCGTTCACTGACGCAGTTTCCCATCTGGCAGCAGAGGACACACTGGAAGACAACAGAACAGCAGCTAGCTGAAAGTCCCCTCAACGAGCCGCACAATCTTTATTTCAGTTTCATTATCGATAACGTTACACAGAATAATAACAACATTGACACGATGCCCAGCGCCCTAAAATATACACTTCTTTCAAATCGTCAAACCCTAACGAAAGGCCGTGCGGCTCCCAAGAGAACAAGGTGAACTTTGCCAACAGAACGGGGTTAGAACCAAAACAACAACAACAATGCTAACGTGAGCTCGGCCCCAGGCTCCCTGCTGTCTTACCTGTGGTTGCACGCTAAAAGAAAACATCTTTAATTCTCCCTGGTACAAAAACGGCCGTTAAGCTACTCGAGTTGCGCCACTGTGCCTGTGAGCTGGAGGTGTGTAACGTTATTTCTTCCACTTTATCTCGCTGTAGCAGACATAGCGAGGGTAAGTGCGAACTTCAGCGGCAGCCTGACGGCGCAACACACACCGGATATGACATCAGCCGTGCTACATTTCGCGTCGCTGTCGAAACCTGCTCTCCTTTTTCTGAGGTTCCGTTCATCCAGCTTCGAGTAATGCACAAGTTTAATATCATTTTACTCATTTACATTAGTCTAAAATGTGATAACTGCAATATAGTGTCTCTATGTGTTTACCACTTATATTTTACAGCTCATGGTTTCAACGCTGATAAGTAGGAATAAGAGAAGATGAAAGTCAGCATCCCCTTCTCACAGACAGCTGTCGTTAACCAAAGTCGTTAACTCTGAGCATCAAAATAAGATACGATAGATATGTTTGTCCCAAGAATGTGTTTATTGCATGTCAAAAACTGCTTCATATACTTATGTTTTACAACTGTATATTTGAAAGCATGACATCCTTGCTTAAACAGAGTATTTCATTGTACAGCTGACAAGACACAAGAATAAACATATGGATTGTCCTTACTTTGTATTGCACTTTTCCACAAGTGCAATCTTTGATACTAATGCACTGAAGCCATACAATAATTATACAAATCTACACATAAATATTTGTCACGATGTCTATTTGGTCTAAAAAGAAATATTTCTAATTCGTACAATGAATATAAAAGGCTGATGTCCTTATCAGAAAAAAGAGTGAACAGAAAACGTTTGATAAATAACTGGCAATGACATTGGTGAAAAAAAATCTTCACTTAAGGTCCACAGCTACTGTATGATCATGGATTTATTTCAATTAAAAGTTGACTCGGTTATGTGAGTTATGTATACATTGAATTTCTGGCAATCTGTGAGACATAAATAAGATCACCACATAATGCTAAGCTAACTGTAACACAGAAATCTGCCTGCACTTATAATGCAAACATCTTCCCTCCCTCTCTTAAATACCTAAAAAGTATCCATGACGTCAAAATGCTACACTATATTGCAGAGTCTCTCTTTAAACACATTTTTGACCATTCATTTATCTAAGGTAGCCTTTCCATTTTTGCTGGTGTCTCATTACACTTCGGCTGTGGTAGTGGCTCGAAAAAGCCACAAAGCAACAAAAGTGCAACAATTTCATCCTGGGCTCATGTTCTTTGATTGATGCCGACGGTTGTCTGACAATTCAGGGGATTTTCCTGTGAAGAGAACAAGTGAAACAGAGTTTAAGTAGTCTGTAGGATGGCCATAAAGCATTAGTGACAATTGACAACAATATTGTTGATCAGTATTTTGTTCACCTTCTCTTCCGTTGTAAGTAAACCTGAACAAGCCAATGTGCAATCAGAGGCCAGAGTGCAGTCAAGACCACTGTGAGTGGGCAGAAATCAAAAGGCCACCAGGATGGTCTCAGGAACTATAAAAATAGAAACCTTCATTACATTAAAGCAACTGTTTCCTAATCAGGTACTACTTGGTCATAGAATTGCATAATAAAAAACAAAACAATGTTCAATATTTTTATATAGACCTTTTGTGCTACAGGCAGGGAGTCCTCCTGCCTTGGCGAAGAAGATCTTGACTGAAAAAAAGAATACTAATAATTAATAAAATATAGAAATCTATGAATACATATAGAATAAATTGCCCAGGAGACATCAACATCCTCAACAATGAAATATTTCAAACAAGCAATGTGTTTTGTTTTTTTCCATTTCAAAAATATGTGGGAAGAAATCAACAGCTAGTGTGAAGGCAAAAAGAAATAACAATAATTCAATCACCACAGCCTACACAATGGGGCTAACACCCCTGGTCTTTCACCTGTGACACCGTCAGCGCTTCCAGAGTGTGCAGCCTGTGCAACACAGTGGTCATGTCGTGCTGCAGCCTCAGCAGAGCTGTAGCTATTTGCTCATTGATGTTTCCCCTGACAGCACTGACCGGGTGGCTGCTCTGTGACACACAACAGCAGGCAGCATCTGCACTGGCACAACGCTGAGAGCTGCATGTTGCCCTTGGCGACTGAGAACCTGAAATGGTAGTCAGAGTGTGACAGTTTAACAACAACATGCAACTGTGGAAGACTGTGCTGTGTTTTATCTGATGCCTTAAAATTCTCAGGAAGATAACGTGCTAAGTGCCCATCTTAGGAGAGAGGTAAATAAAGGGAACAGCGGCTGCATAAATATAAATCCACTACTGCAGTCTCACCTCTCCCTCTTCTTGATAAGGAGCTGTTGTGTTGGCTTGTACTAATCCCTTCTTTAAGGTAGGAATCTCCCATGAGCACTTGATCCTCTCCTCCGTTCAGGGTAGTGTTGCTCTCAAACCAAAGATCCTTTTGCCTCACTGACGCAGATCCTGATCCAAGTGACAGCATTTTTGATGTAGACTGCCCCTTGTTAGGAAAAGAATAGAGTCATCCACAGTTTAAACAGCCAGAATTAGGACAGAACATGTTCAAATTTGTTCTTTATATAATGTTGACATGATTAAACATTTTGGGAAATAAACTTTTTTCCTTGCTGAGGGTTGCATGAGAAAATGTACACCAATCTCTTATCTGTCCATTAAATATGAAGCTACAGGCAGGAGACGGTTCGCTTAGTTTAGCATATAGAGTGGGAGCAGCTAGCCTGGCTCTTTGGATGTTCAACAATAGACTAGATAAAGATAGATAAATACACTAAGCTCTAAAACTCTGGAGCTAGTTTATTCTGTACAAAAATTAAAGTATTTAAACAACCTGTTTTATATGGGTTTATGTGCTGGGCTATTTCTTGCACAATGATTTCCTGGAGTCTTGTTCTATAGTGAACTTTAGAGATGCTGGTAGACGTAGGTCAGCTCTTTCCCACTGCTTCTAGTCTTTATGTTAAGCTAACTGTCTCCTGGCTCTGGCTACACATTTATGTGAGTGATACTGATCGTCTCATCTAGATCTTGAGAAGAAAGAGAATAAGAATATTTGCATAAATGTCTAAACTAATCCTTTAATGTGGTGTACACTTTGGAGGAGGGATACCACACCTCTTCCATGGCCAGATGCTCCATTGAGTCACAGAATTCTTCATTATCTGAGTCTGTGGATCGGTGGTTCTTCTCGGGAACAACATCACTATGATCTGAACAGTGCAAAACACAGCAAGCCAACAATAATAAACATGGGCAATATGGGAAATTATATCGTTCTTCACTGTACATCTACATAATAAACAATTGTTTTTTTATATTTTTAACTACATTTTATTATTGCAATGTATACCAGAATTTAGTTATGCATATTTATTCAATATTTTATAACAACAAAGGATCAAATGACTATATGTACATGAAAGGGGTTGCTCTTAGCGACAAACCCATAGACTATTATCCCTGGACTCTGCAGCTCCCCTCAGCTTCATAGAGCATTTTGGTTCAGCTCATTGTTTTGGTTTTCCTACTCACAATCCTACTGTTTTGGTTCAGTCTCATTGCTGTAATGGTGTCCTTTTTTGTTATCTAAACACTACCTTCCCAGCACCAAATAACAAAAAGACATTAATTTGCATTTAGCAGCTAATAAGCCAGATGTTTCCCTCAGGAGTTGGTGGAGACCAAAACAGAGCTTAAAGTAAGGTGAATTTTGACCTTTTATTCGCCAAGTGGCTAGAAACATGACTCCAAATGAACGCTAATGCTGCTTAGTATCTACTGGATATGTAAAAATGTAAGTGTTATGAGCAATATGAATTTAAAAGGTGATTATATGTGACTAATATGTTTACTTCAGGCAAATAGGCTATAGAAAGGTAGCATTTGCAAACAACAGTAGCTTTACCTTCAGGACAACACAGTATGACTTGCAGTAAAATGTGTAATATGTTTCTTTAGAAGTTGCTCAGATTTCATTTCCTTTTTAAGTGCACTTATTTTTTCAAGAGTAACAATTTCCCACAGAGATCATTTTATATTTCATCTTAAAGTACATCTTATAATAAATACACGTGGAATCTAAAGAGCATAATCATTTCAATAAACTGTTTTGACAAATGCCTTGTCACAGTGCTTTAGTACATAATGGTATACAATAATATACACTTAATGCGTAATCTTACCATTCAGGTGTCCATTAAAGTGCATATAGGAGTTACACTGGGCACTGGGCTCTATGGAACAGGTCAGTTCCTCCTCCTCCACCTCGCTGTTGAGGGAGCTGTGTGTCCCGTTGGTGAAGGAGGACATGCTGGGTTCCACACTGCTGTTGGACCACATGGTGTCAGACCTCCACCTCTTGTTGTCCGCCATCAGCAGCCTCGGGTCAGGACTCCAGTCTGAGACCACACAAAGGAGAGCCACAGAGCGAGAGAGAGAATGACCAGGCCTTACAAAAAAGGACAGTTTCTTTCATGTGTCTCAACAAAATCCTCCCTCTTTAAACGAAGAATAGAGAGGCAAAAATGAAGGAAAATTAAAAGAAAGTAGTGCATACAGAAATGCATAGAATGAGAGAGTGTACATAAAGTAAATAACTGTGCTACATAAAAAAAAGGGCTTCATTGGAAAGTATTTTAAGTTGTAAACAGGTCAAAAATATGAATTCTTCAAAAAGGCTAAGTACCGTCCTAAAACAGCTGGGCACTGTAGTTTTTAACAAATGTTACTCACAATAGAGTACATTGTTTTGTTTGTTAGGACTATTCTCAGCTGCTGCTTGATACACATTTTACACATTTATGGCAGCAGGATTTATGTGAGATTGACTCAATAAACAGACTTTTCATGGTAATGAGGAAACATGTCACACAATGCAACAGTGGTGTTGATGTGTTTTTAGGTGGTTCGGTGGAGCTCTATGGCACAAAGTAGACATATAGATACACGTACCAAGCATTGTTTTAGTCTTTTCATGAGCTTTGTTGACATTAAGAAATAAATGTAGAATATCACCAGCCTTACCCTTTAAATCATGTAAATGATGGATTAGTGTGTAACCTCAACAACACAACTTCACAGCACAAAACACCTAACAGCTACAACTACAGGTGGTACCTTTTTCCTCCTCCTTGTCTTCATCTTCTGTATTGTCTTCTTCATCCCCATT